ACGCTGCCGGGGGTGGCAAAAAGCTGGGATTTGGAAAGCAGAGCTGCTCCGTGGCATCCTGCATCCTATTCTCAGGGCCCGGCAGAGCTCGGCTCTGTTCCTGGCGCTGACAGCCTCTGCGGGAGGTCAGCCGGGGTGAGCCCCGTCACCCGTCCGGCCTCCCTGTGAAGGTCACCCCCACAGGGACAGACCTCCCGAAACGCCCCAGACCTCCAGGCAGGCGGTGTGGGTTATGGGGACATCCATGTGCCCACCACAGCTAACTTCAGACACCCAACGTCTCCGTGCCGCCGGCGGAGAGGAGTGGAGGTCTCCGGAGGACAGTTTGGAGGCTAATTAGTGCCTGACTTGATTGCTCCGAACCAATGTTCTCTCCCGGCACTGCCAGAGCCGCCGCAGACGGTGGTCCTGGGACACAGGCTGGCGCCGGTGGGGTGACGCTGTGTCACCATGTCTGCCCCGGGTGCTCCGGGAGAATGAGCCCCTCTGCAGCTCTGTGTCTTCTGGCTTTGCTCTCCAGCCCTGGGCATCTGCTGCCACCATCCTCGCTCCTCTCTTGACGCCTCTGCTCCCCCCGGTGATGCCCTGCTCGGCCGTCCAGAAAATCCAGGCACCATTTCCAGGTTCCGATGCTCTCTGAGAGCGGAGCAAGTGGGAGCAGACACGCTCTCCCCTCCAGCCCCTACAGCTATTCGCCACTGCCTGCGTCTGTGTAAAGCACGGAGAATTCCATACGCACGGCTCTAAACCTGCCTTGCAGCAAACCCAAACAGTGGGTGCCACCACCCCGTATTTCATGAGGCCAAATTTCGGCTGACGCCACAGGCGCTGCCAGCAAAATGCACTGAAATCCCCACCGTGATCAACAGAGGTGTCCGGGCACACAGTTAAAAAAAAATATGTTGAAGCACTCGCGTTTTGCCCAGTATCAAGATCCCCCAGGCTTGGCCCTGCAGAGATGCATGGATCATGCCTTTGCACAAGCACGGCTCGGGCACCGGCTTCAGCTGCAAGGCAAGGGGCTGCGAGCCGCCCCTCTCCTCTTCCACGCAGTGTGCAGCACGTTTTTGGGGTTTGCAGCCACCAGCGCTCTCCGGAGGAGATTCTTCTGTGCTTTGACAGCGTATTTTTTTATAAACAAATAACTGAGAAACGTTTAAAGCCTGCAGCTCCCATGAGAGGGTGTGCAATCTCCCCCCCGACCCCTGCCATATGGGCAGGCGATGAGAAGCAGCTTGTTCTTCCAGGTGCAGCCGGCACGGGTACAAAGCGCTGCGGGACGCCGGCCATCCCTCCCTGCCACCGGGCAGGAGCATGCCGGAGCCCTGCGGCACAGCCTCGGCCATCCCAAGCCATCACCTGGCAAAGGCAGATCCGCTGGGAGCAGAAACAGATGCCCCTGTTGCAAAATCCCAAGACCACGTGCGGCAAAACAGGAGGCAGCCAAGGGATCGCCGGGTCTGTCTGCACGTTCATCCCGGGATTTTTTTCTTTCATCCAGCTGCTGATCAGACTGCCATGAGCCAGATGAATTTCCCAGCTCCAGGTCTTGGCAATTAAGCGAGCACGGGGAGGGGAGTGCGCGACATTTCCATGCACCACGTCGGAGCTACCGCCCGCTCCAGCCCTGTTCTGTCAGAATTACTATTAATATCCCCCAAAAATATTTGTGTTAGAAACCGAAAGGTTTACATAAACAGAAACTTTGGAAACAGTTTCTAAGCGATGAGAACAACAGTTTTAGATGATACGTCACAACTCACCTCGTGGATTAGACATTTGTCTATGAGCTGTAAATAGGAACTTATATTCTCTTCGTCGGGTCGGGAAACTAAAAGTTGCGTGCATACTGGAAAAAAAAGAGAGAAGAGAAGAGAAATGGGCATGGGGACACCAAGCTGGGGTCCGGGGGGGGCCGACGAATGCCCTGGACGTCCTGTTTCCCTGGTCCCATGGGTGAATCTTCTCATCAGCGAGAAAAAACACCCTTCCCCAATTCCTGCTGTACCGTCCTATATTTAGGGCCAGATTTTGTTCTCTGTTATGTTAGTTTAAATCCAGAATGACACCATTGGAGTCACCAAAATTAGACCTGAGCAAATCAGGGGCACAGGATTATTCCTTATTCCTAGGCAAGAGCTGGCACTGGGAGAGCTCCTGCTCCTACAGCCAAAATCTGCCCCTGCTGCAAATGGATTCCCACCTTTCCCGATGGATTTTAACCTCTTTTTGGAATTCATGCCATCAAAGCAAGTGGAAATGAATCCACAGAGAAATGAGTCTCTCCTGTCACAAGCCCCAGGCAGGGATGCCTTGAGGTCCAGGAGGACACCTCGTCCTCCAAGGCTTGTGCCGTACGTACAGCTTTGTGCGTGATGGAGGCATCTGGCATGGGCTGAATTCATCAGCGGGTTTAAAATGGGGCCAGAAATCCACGTTTCTCTGTGCATGCAGCCAGTGAGCTGGTGAGAAATTTTGCAGCATGTTTTTATATAGAAAACATCTATATTTTGCAAAAAAAAGGTCTGAAATAGGGACAGGGCTGGTATTTCTTCGTGGCGTCCCGATGAGTTTCTTTTTGTTCCCGGTCTCCTGTGTGAGCCTGCGGACGAGACTCCCCTCCCCTCTTCTCCAGGGAAATCTCCCTCCACTCAGCCAGCACCCTCAGGTGCCACCGACGGGGGTTAGGACACATCCCGGCTCACACAGATTTCCTGGAAGAGCCCTGGGTACGGCACAGGAGGTCGGTCCCTACCACACCTCGCTCCTGTGCACCTCCCGGCGTGTTAATCCTGGCGCAAAAGCCACGCGCCCTGCAGCAGGTGTGGAACAGCACCTGAGTATTTTGGATGCCCTGCATCTAAACTGGGGCTTAAAAAGGGGCATCTTAAAAAGGGGCATCTTAAAAAGGGGCATCTTAAAAAGGGGCTTGGACCCAGCTGATTTGCACTCAAGATGGTTCGTGTGCAGCTCACACACCGCTGCTACCCCCGCAACAAGCAGAGCAAGTCCGAGGGATGCTGCTGAAAATCCCTCTGGATCGGCGGGATGCCCGCAGGGCTCCGAATGGGAAGGGAGAGGATGCTGCCTGCCCCCGCCCTGGAGCGGGCAGCCCGTCCCATCGCTGCCCCTCTGCAAAAATCACTGCCCACCTCCCCGCCCACGCTCTTACCTCTTACCACAGCACGACGGGGCCTCAAAAAACCATCACCCCCGGGACCGCGGCTTGCAAGAGCTCGGGGAAAGGCTGCTGCCAGCGCCGCCACCGCAGGCAGCCTGCCCCGAAGCAGCTCTCGCTTGCGAGGACGCCGATAACAAGTGAGGGCCGCTCACCTTTCCCCATCACTCTGGTGAACTGTCCGGGCAGGTCACCTTCGGGCAAAGGGGCCCCCCCCGACTCGCCCTCGCATCCCGGCAAATGGTGCTGCTGCATCCCGCCCGCGGCAGAGTCCTTGCAGTCAGAGCCTTGGCTGTCTGAGCCGATCAGGGAGGAGGGGTGATGCGAGTCCGCGTCCCGGCTGTGCTCCTCCGTGCTGGAGTTTTGGGAAGAGTAGGCTTTGATGGGGGTGAGGATCATTTGGTGTAGTTCCTGCAGTGGGACACGCAAGTTGCCACCTTCCAGGATGTCCTGTGGATTGGAGGGGAGAGAAGAGGGTTTGTCTCCGCAGGGACAACAGGAGAGCAGCTGCGAACCAGACCCCTCCTGTTACCCCCTCCCGAAAATCCCCAGCAAAGCCGATGGCCTCGCTGCTGCTCCAGGGCCCTGCTGCAGCCCATATCCAACAGCCGCGTTACATTCCCCAGTCTTTTGCTTAGAGCAGGGGTGAAGAATAGATTTAGACTGGACATAAGAAAGAAATTTTATACAGTGAGGGTGGTGAGGCACTGGCACGGGTTGTCCAGAGAGGTGGGCGATGCTCCATCCCTGGAAACATTCCCGGCCAGGTTGGACAGGGCTCTGAGCACCCTGGGCTGGTTGGAGATGTCCCTGCTCACTGCAGGGGTTGGGCTGGGTGGCCTCTAAAGGTCCCTTCCCACCCAAACCATTCCGTGATTCTACGATTCTGTGAACCCGGAGCGTGGAGCTGCTGCAGGGACTGTGCCTGATTATCCAGGGATGTGTTCAGACCTGAATCCCCAGAGATAAATGTGCCCCGTCAACCACTGGGACCCAAAACCAGCGACAGTCCAGCTCCAGCATTTCCAAATTTCCACCAGGAAGATGGCAACCCCATGAGAACGACTGAGCCTGTGAGATTTCAATGCCCAGACCAGCGGGTATCTTGCTCCTCCTTCCCCAGCAACCCCACAATCCTGACATTTCAGCCCTATTTAATTTCAACCATATTTTTTAACGTGGGCTTGTCTCCAGTTTCCAGCACCACCTTCAAGCCTGGCTCTCCATCAACTGCTCTGCCCCAAAGGGCCTGCGACAGCACCCTTATGCCCTGCGACCGCCATTATAAGGTCCAGGACCATGCTGGGACGCAGGAGCCCATCCTGCAGCAGCGAAGCAGGGACGTCCCCGTCCATACTGGGACGGGCTGGGGGAGCAGATGCAGAGGGGAAAGGGAGGGTTTCAATGGGAGCAGGGTGCGCTGTGGTCGGACACAGAAGGGGAGACCACGAGGCTGGAGGTGAACTGCCATCCCTACAGCAAAAACATTCAGCCTGGAGATCCTGGGGAGGTCCACCCAGGAGGGAGAGGATTTGGCTACACCCCCAGCCTTGCTCTCGGTTATCGTGTGGATCAAGAACTCCCTTTCTACGGTCAGATCCTCATCCCACTGATGGGAAATAATTGCATTTTGTTTTTAATGTAGCCTGGACCAGAACAGCTCACTGCAGGCTCCTGTAGGGTCTGGCTCGTGGGATGCCGCTCGGTAAGAGGCAGCTTTTGGGGTGAGTCCTGGCTACGCCTAGGGAAGAGACACAAGGTGGGTGCACAGGCTGCGCGTGAGCCACTCAAAGCCCTGCACTGGCTGTTCACCCTAATTACTGCTGCAACCAGCTCACTCTCGGATGTCTCGGCTCCACTTCTCTCGAAGACCTGGCGCCAGCCTGCTGGGCATTATTTTTTAGGGAAAAAAATCCTGCTCTGCTAACCGGCAGAGAGGGGTGGAGCAGCTCTTTCCAAGAAAGCAGCAATCTTTAGCAGCGAGACACTGCCCAAAAAAATCAAGTCCCACACATGCTCTTGTTTAGCAAAGAGAAATTGGATGGGAAGCCTGGAAAACCAGAGACGTCTCCTCCCAAGTAAAGCAGCTCACAGGCAGCTCTGAGCCCCAGCAAAGTGGGACACGGTCACAGCCCCACAGCCCAAACCCACCCCATGAGGGCTCAAAAAAGCAGTCCCTGCCACTTATCTCCTGTATTTTACAGCGTGCGTGGCTGGTTGTGTCAGCTGAAGCGGGCTTAAGCTCCCGCACCGCGCCAGTCAATCAATACCATATTTCAAAACCCAGGCGGAGAAGCGGGGGAAGAGGCTGTGCAATTGCCTGGAAAACACATCGCCGAAGCAAGCTCAATCCAGCCGGCTGTCTCTTGGATTTAATAGTTATTATTAATATACGAAGGTAAATACGGCTTTATTAGCTCCTGCCATACTCCGAGTACAATCCCATATTATAAATAAATAGTGAAGCAGTGAGCTAACGAAAACACCAATAAATAGCAACACACCACATAAGTATTTAAAAGCCCCTAGTGGGAGGCTCTGCAAGTTGCTGTTTGAAGATGGTGCAATTAAATATAATATAATATTGTGATAATAAATAGCGAGAGGTTGGGTGAACTCCTCCCAGCCAGCCTGCGGTGCTGGTGCTTCTCTGACAGGCATTTCTGCAGAGTTTAAGCTTTTGTTGAAGGGACAAAGATGTTTCTATTTGTTCTCCTTGGAAATTCAAGCTGTTGTTCAGGCACTGACGTGGGTGGCTGGCTTTTCATCTGAGGACAGATTGCCCATATGATGCTGCAGAAAAGCGCAGTGGCCCTTGACCTGACAGACACCGGGAAATCCCATCTCTTTTTGGGAACGGAGAGGTAGGAGCAGGGCTCGGGGGTCCCTGTGAGGACTGCTGTGCATGGAGGGGTCTCTTGAGAGGGACAGTGGCATCGAGATGGGAGAGTTAACCGAGGGATAACCAGGGGTTAAAGGCTCTGCCCAGCTGGTTCTCCAGCGGGAGAGAGGACCACGGCGGCTGGTGCGGCTAGAGCTGGTCCTGCACCATGGTTCAGCGGACGGGTGACCACCTTCCCATCAGTGTCGCTGGGCTGATGCCCTCCATCACCTGGAGCTCAGGTGTTTCCGAGCACCCTGGAGCTGGACAGGCCTTGTGCTGCAAGGTACATCCATCCCAGCTGCGGGAGTGCCGGGGATGGATTAGGACCCACTCTGCAAAACACAGCCCCAGATAAAACCTGCATCTGCTACAGAAGTGTTTGAGACACCGTTCAGATGTGGTGAAGCCAGCAACAGATTCCTCTGCAAAAGATCCCAACAACATGCGTAACCAAAGGGTCCTTCACCCCAGAATTAATTCCTGGCTTCTTGAAAAAGAGGAAATATAAAAGTGGTTGTGATTACTTACCCTTTCTAAAGATTTGAGCAGGTTTTGTCTTTCTTTTAGCTTTTGGATACTGATGACTATTTTGTGTCTTGCGCCTTTGGTAACGTTCTGCAAAAAACCAGCACAAAACCTGGCATTAACATTTCCACAGGACAGCCAGGTCAGACCAAACCCTTCCTCCCCTAAATGAAAAGGGCTGCTATAAATTAATCAAATTTCTGAGTGCATGGATTAGTGGGAGACATTGAAAGTCACTTAGAGACTTGCTGAAGATCGAGATTTCCAGCTAGTCTGTCCCTCCCTGGTACATCTCACACAGTGAAAGCAAAGGTGCTGACTGGCCCTCTTCATCCCAAGGACAATGCAGAAGGAAATCTGAAAGCAGGGCCATCTTCAAAGGTTAACACGGCAATTGGCCACCAAAACCCCACTGACTTTAAAGGAGCTGGGTACTGCAGACTGTGCCCCTGAAACTCCTAAATTTAATCCCAGCTGGACAAAAACCCAAGTTCAGGTCCCGATGATGGGACTTTCATGCTGGGACTCCAGTAAGAAATCTGGGACAAGGCCTTTTTCAGGTACCATGTGGGTTTTTTCACTCTCCAAGACCCAATTCTCCTTTCTCTGCTTGCTTTCCAACCGCCTGTGGGCAAAATGCCTTCCACGTGAAGACACAAAAAGAGGCGTTGGAGATGTCTCATCTACTGACTGCACAAGAGTCGGGCCCACAGATGATCCCTTTACAACTGACGCGGGACGTACTTGTGCCTCGAGCTGGCATTCGGTGAGGGCCATCATCTCCTCGTACGTCATCTGCGAGAAGAGGGCGGCGTACTTGTGCAGCCGGAGGCTCTTCAGCCAGGCTGGGACATCTGCAGCACAAAGGTAAGGAGATGAGAGCTCCCATTGAGCTCATGACACCGCTTAACCACGCGCAATAGCACCAACAGCAACGCAAGGAGCTGGTTAGGTGCCATGCACCATCCCACCGGTGCTTCAGACACCTTACTGAACTTCACGGACCTTTTGGAGGACATATTGCTATGGATATCGATGGCAGGAGGAACCAGCCCTCAGATGAGGGCATGTCCTCAGAGGTTGGGTTTCTGCAGCTGAGCCACCAGGAATTAGCCACAGGGAGCCGGCATTGCTCCACTGCACGGGCAAGCTCCTCGCTGCCCTTTTCCAAAGAACATGGGAACCACTGAAGCTAACAGTGTGGTCGAGCTTAGGACGAGCAAATGGCTGTTTTGCAGATGGCAGACACTGATTTATGGCATGAGGGAAGATGGTATGTGCTGAAAATTTAAATGGCTGCTTAAAGAGCAATAAAGAGATTTTTTTTTTCTGAGCATGGAAAAATGACATGCCATTGAAGATGGTCCCACAACCCGTTTCAGAAGGGTGACTTGTGACCTCAAAATGCACCAATTGAAATGAATTCTTCCTTCCCACTCCTTATCTGCAGCGTAGCACCTCTGTGCCCGGCTGGATGGGTACCCCAAAATACTTTTATCCTCCTGACATCACTGTGATTTCACAGGAAAGGACCTGGGAGGGGGATCCTTCCTCTGCAACATGCAAAACCCCGCCAGACCCCACGACGTGGTGCCCTCCACGGAGAAGCCTCCTCCACTCCAGCCCACTCAGCAGCTACTCAGGGGTTTGCGGGTTTTGGGGGGGGGGGGCTCACGGTGACACCCCACAAGGTGGGGGGGCCCTGCAGATATCTGTGCTGCAGCACACCACCATGCCCGTGATGATGCTTTTGCTAAAGGCTTCAAATGCTGTGCCAAATCGGGACCCGCTTTGTTTAGCACCTACACCCCGGCAATAGCTCTGCCTTAGCCTACTGAGCTCATGCGCTCCGCTCCCAGCAATACTAATACTAATGTCCATTAGTCCTTGTCCCCTTCCCCACCAGTGAGACACCCAGGAGCCCTGTCTCAACCTCCGTTGGTGCAGTAACAGTGAAAAACCAGTGTTTCAGCCCCAAACAGCATGAAACCCCACACCTTGAATGGAGAGAGCAGGTGGAGGCTCGGGAAATGTCTCTTTTAGGGCTAAATACAAATTAACAGCAACATCTCCCCTCTCTTTGATCATTCCTGAGGGGTATGTGTTGAGTGGGTGGGTGGTGGACCCCATGTCCCATGGCAGGTAGGGGCTGACGGCGCAGGAGAGCCTGAGGGGAAGGAGCAATGGCTGGTGGCGAGGCTGCGCCAATGGGGTTCCTCTGTCCAAAGTGCCCACCAAGGGGGAAGGAGGAATGGGGGCTTGCAATGTTTTTGGGAGGGATTTCTACCCGCTATGTGCTTCTGCTGCTGGGCTGGGGCTGCGGTGGGTGCTGGTGCTCTGCTCACCGTCCCCAAGGCCAGCATGAACACCCTGGAGGCGTTCAAAAAATGGGTAGACATGGCACTTTGGGACAAGGTTTAGTGGGCATGGTGGTGTTGGGTTGATGGTTGGGCTGATGATCTTAGAGATCCTTTCCAACCTTAGTGATTCCTAGTTTTACTTTCATTAAAAAATAATGCAGCCACCAAGCCAGGAAACATGAAATTAATTATTTCTCTCCCCTTAATTGGTTTAGTGGTGGAGTTGGCAGTGTTAGGTTAATGGTTGGACTTGATGATCTTAAAGGTCTTTTCCAACCTAAATGATTCTATGATTCTATGAGGACAACCTTCATGGCCATGTCCAATAACCTTCATTAACATAGCCAGCCTCAAAGGTTTTCTAGGTTGATCTGACTGCAAAGTGTGAGGCCAGATTTGCTTCGGAAAGGGATGAGGTGATGTGAGGAGGACAGTCCCACTGCCGGGACATCCTACAGTATGGGTCATCTCTGTCCAGAAAGCCCTGCACTGCTGAGTGCCAGACGCAAGTCAAGGATTGTCACAGACCTCTTCCCGAACCAACACCTCGTCGCTGGAGGGGACAGGACAAGATGGACCATTGGTTTGGTCCCCTAAGGCAATTCTTACATCTGCCAGAAGTTTCCTGCTGCCCACTGCCCGGGCTGACCCCAAACCCCACTCACATCCAGCCAGAGGATGCAAACGGCTCCAAAATGCTGTGTTTTGCTCACACTCTCTGTCCTCTGACACACATCAGGATTCGCGTTTCAATGAAATTCCTCAAATGCTGCACAGAAGGAGATCAACCCCACACCAAAGGTGGGGGCAAAGAAGTTACTGAGCACAGATGGGCTGAACTTTGCTGTTTACTGAAAGCGCCGACATGCAACAGTTCTAAAACCAGCTACCAGAGGCCTCTTAAACTGCTGTTCTGTTTAAAAAAATTAAAAGCTATTAGCAGAAAGCTCTCTGTTTCCAGCATGGGACTGGAAGGCTTGAATCTCAACTTCATTATAACACAAAACCACGCCATTTTAGTGATGACACATTAAAAGTCTACCTGATCCCGTGTCCCTTAGGGACATCTACCTTTGGCGCACATCCATGGGCAAAGCCCATGGGGATACTTTCAGAAGAAAGACGTAACTTCATATAGACATTAAAACCTGCAGAAAACCCATCTCCAACCTTTGCAGAGGGTCAGAGCGCAGAAGCAGCTCTTCCTTCCCTTTGCATCAGCCTCCCTGGACCACCTCCTAATTTTGGGGAGCTAAGATGGTCCCAGAGCCCCCTTGCCAGCAGGGATGGCAATCGCAGGAGTGAGCTGGGGAGAAGATGGCGGTGGGGCTTTCCCCCTTCCCACGAGGAAGAGGCAACCAGGAGGTGTAAGGTCATCTAAGGTGATTTCATGGTCCTTGGAAAGTCAAAACTTCCTAATGCTCCCCACGGAGCAGTGAGCCACCTGCCCGCGGAACTACTCTTTAATCACCGATTACTAGGAGCTAATTGCAAAGTCATGGCATGGCTGTCGGAAACGCTGCGTCTGATGTGAGCAGCAAACCAAGGACTTTCATGCTGCTCACGTACATTGTCCCCTATATGCATTAAATGCCGCAGTTTGGCTGGCACGCATCTATCTGGGTGCTGGCATGGAAATTTAGAAGGAAAACAATTCACCCTGTCATAAATATATATATATACAGGCCAGTATATACATAGGACATCTTCAGAAGTGCTCTTATGGCACACCACGCTAAGCCATGGACGTACTCGCAGCAGAAACCCCCAGCCTTACCCAAACCCTCCTCCCGCTGCGCCCCGAGAAGGGACAGACAGACAGACGGACGGGCTCCGCAGGGAACAAAGGGTCTGCGTTTCCCCCTGGAGAAACCAGGGGCCAGGTAAAAGCCAAAGGGCACTTTTCCTTCAGCACGAAGGTAGGTGGGAAGGAGAGAAATAGGTGACATTAGGGGAGATGAATGCTAAGCCACATCGGACAGGGGTCTGTCATGGGTCTGGTTTCCCTGCTACCCTCCTGGATGCTGCGGAGGGTGTTAAAGGAGGAACAAGCTGACCGGAGATGCGGGTGACAAGCCACAAGAGCCTGCAGGCGCTTGGGGAGACGTGGCTGCAATTCAGAGAAGGGACTTGGCAAACCGAGCAACCGGTCTGGATGAAATAAGATGCAACCCAATAAAAATGCACGAAGTTGTGCGTTTCTGTAGGAACAAGAAATGGCAGGAACCGAGGGCAGGGAACGGGCAGTACTATTTTTTGCAGGAAAGCTGTGGGGATACAATGGGTCATACGCAGCCCACGGGGGTGTGTTATTTGAGGACGATGAGCTATACAGCCACAGGAACGCTGTGGGTATGGCAAGCAAGTCTCTGCTCTGCTCCCGAGTCCAGTTTTGGGCAACACACCTTCAATAAAATATGGACTTTCTGGAAAAAAAAAACAGCGGAGAGAAGCAAGAACAACCCCAGGTTTAGAAAACACCATGTGGGAAGAAAGTGGACTGGTTCAGTCTGAAGAAAATACAGCGGAGCGGGGAGGACACGACAGTTGTAGACACCAGAGGCTGCAGATACCTGTTTTGCACGCCCCCGGACAGCGGGACAAAAGCAAACTGGCTGACTTGGCAATGAGGGGAATCAGGTTTAGATGTTTGCAAACCTTCCTCCAGAGAAGGAGGATGCCCGGGAAGGGATGGCCCAAGGAAGGGCAGCCATCTCCCCCGGGGTGGGCTGCATGCAGCAGCAATGGGCTGTCTTAACTTGCGGAGTTTATTTAATTGGTTATTGCTTGTGGACAGCCTGGGCAATAGCGCCTTTGGGTTTTGCAGATTTGGCCGTACAGATTGATTGCATTGCACTGGAAAGTTTCTATCCATGCAGGTCCCGGAGCTGCGGCTGTGGATCACAGAGAGCCAAGCTCCCTGCGATCTCCTCCCCAGTCCCATCAGCAGAAACCTGGATGAACGTAATGTTAAAGAGACCCCTCTGCACCACCAGCTCCCGAAAAGGGTCTCCTTGATCTGACAGACTGCAGGATCCAGCTCCAGGCATGGAAAGCCTTGGGGACCCTTCACGTTGATCGCAGCTTAGTCTTCAACATGCTCACGGTGATCGCTCCGAGCCCGCCGGCCGGTCACCCAGGCAGGGAGAGCCACGGCCACGCAGAGCCTGCGGCACCGCGGGACGCAAAACGCTCCCTGCCCGTGCTACCCGATTAGGTGTTCGTTAGCAAGTGGAGCTGCTGAGAAGCAAAGCCCGGTTCCGCGAGGCCGTCACGCTCGGAAAACTCTCCCGTCACATCTCCAGCCCATCGCCTCCACCCCAGAGCAACGCTACGGTGCAAACTCCAGCCAGGGAGAGGGCTGAGCCCCGGGCATCTGTCTCACGGGGGAACCATGAGGGGGTTTTTCATGCATTTATTTCATGCACATCGAAGTCACACAGTGCCAAGCCAAACACGATTCCATATTACCGAGATTTAGATGTATCTAGATTTGTCCGGTAATTAGAATAAAAACAGACCTTGTGACTATTTAAAAAACACGATTGTTCCCTTATTCTGTTACATCATCGGTCTTTACACAATAGAGTTGCTTTGCATTACAGAAAATTGCAGTTGTTTAAATCAGTCTCTGATAGCTGCGGGTTCATTTTCAGTCATTTTGTCTGTTCAGTGGAACATACAGTCTATGTGTTTGCCCAGTTTTTACCTATTTATGCCTCTACAGCCTGAAGTTTGCTCTCCATCTTTGACTGCAGCAATAGGGTTTCATTTCTGCCTTGTTTACCAACAAGATCACATATATTTATTGCTATGAGTCTCGGGAAACGCAGGCGTAATGGGAAAACCAACTGAAAGACATGGGATAAATTCACTGCAAACAAGTATCCTAAGCCAAAACTTCCCTAAATACTTGGTGGGTACCAAACACTGCAATGGTAAATCACAGGTGGCTTGCTAAACCTACGCTAAGCTATTTTTCACCGCAATTAAAAAAAAAAAAAAGAAAAGAAAAGACAAAAAAGCACCGCTCGCCGGCAAAAAGCCACAGGCTATGGAAAAAATCCAGCTTTTTGGAAAGCTGGCAGCTTGCAGGATTTTGGGGCAAAACCAGCCCACCGGCACCCAACTGTAAGCCATCGGATCAGGACCAGCCGCTGCTTAAAAGAAAACCTAGCTTATTCCCCTAAACCTAAAAATTCCTAAGCCGGGAAGAAACGCCGAAAGGCCCCCTTTGGTTATGAGAACTCTCGCCCAAAACCACCAACCGAGCCCCGCGCTGCCGGGAAAAGGGCTTTTCCCCTCCTGCCTCTGGGTGCTGGAGCGGGGGGAGGCGTCTGGTTTTTCACTCACCTTTCATCCCACTCCCTTCCTCCTGGAATGTGTTACGAGCGGAAGGCTGATCTTCTAAATGTTCACTCCCACCACTTCCCGAAGAGGCTACACTGCTTTGTGGAGACAGGGGGGCATGATCGGAAGGGATGCACTGGGGTCCTCTAGCTCGTAAGTCCTCATGAGACATCCATCCATGTCCTAGAGGTTGGTTTGGCACATTCATGGGTGGGGTAAGGGACACAGAGCGTTTCAAAGGGCTGTGGTGTGTCTGGCCTGAGAGAACTGAAAAAAAAATAAAATCAAAGAGGTTATTCCCCCCTCGCGGCCCAGGATGTAGCAGAGTCCCCCGAAAAAAATTAAATGAAATCAGAAAATGCGTGGTGGTCGGCCACGGTGCCTCGCCGATGGCTTTGCGGTGCCCGTGGCTACCTGAACCCTACCCTGAGCTCTCGGCTTTGCCTCCCGGGAAGCAAAGGGGACGGGAGTACCTGCAAGGAGATGGGGTTACACGAGCTACATCGGGTTGCTTGAGGAAAGGTGTTGCGTGGATTGCATCTCTAAGGGGGGGGAAAAAAATCATCGAGCAGCTCTGGGGGTTTTCCCCGTGCGGAGTCACACATCGAGAGCAAACCGAGCAGGGGACCTTGGCTGCTGCCCCTCATCAAGCCTGGAGCCCGGGCGGTCGCCTCCCTTGCAGGGAAGGCACCGCTGCTATTGCAGGGGTAACGGGAATTTCCAAGCGACTACACTGAGGCCATGACACTCGCCCCGCTAAAATCATCCGGATCTGCATCTTTCTGGGAAAGGCAGAAAAATCCCCAGGATGGGAATGTCCTCACACAGACCCAGGGGAAGCTCCTCCGCCTCTCCCTTTGGGTTAGGACGTGGCTTATGCCCCGAAGCACGAGCGTTTACACATCTGCCTAACGTCATCATGGAGGTGCTCATCGTCCCTAGAAAGGGCTCAGCCTCGCGGAGTCCTACCAAGATCCTGCGCTCCGCCGAGCACCCCAGCTCAGCCACCCAGCGGGTGCGCATCCAAGCACGCGCCTTTTAACCCTCCACAAAAGCAAATGCCCAAAGCAATGGTAAAAAGAGACCCAAGACAAAGAGGTGAGGCTGAATTCCCCCCCCCAGAATTAACTTTGGAAAGCTTTGGATTTGTTTTTCCCATGTGCTTGTGTTTCCTGGCTGAAACTTTAATACCACTGAGTTAAATTTATTTTTAACAAGTAACTTTAACACTGTTAGGAAAAGAGCGATGCACCAGCTCCTGTGATTTAGAGTTATTTCTCACGAAAGGCTTTACAATGGGTGGGTATTTACTTGCCTTTCGGTCAAGTAGAGAAATACGCCTTACGTATGCTGAAGTATTAAAATGCCAAAGCTTAGATTTTTCTGACACTTTTTGGTAGAAGTGTGGCAACTTGAATAGATTTTTAAATGCAATTTTTACTGAACGGTCTCCATTTTTCACTGCTCTTCTTCCACACCGTCTCATTCATTTTTAGTTATCGCCTTAAAGATTTAGATAGCTTTTTCTTGGGTCTGTTGGTTAGTAGGGGTAATACATGGTATTTAGAGGAAAAGATGGATGTGGACGAACTATCTTTGTTTCCTGTAATGAAAAATATATGAAAAAATTGGTCTGTTGGCTTAACAAAATTCAAATTCCATCACTCACAAAGTCACTAAACTGCTGGTTAAACCATAAATGCAGTTAATGTATTTTAATGTACGGATTTAGGATGCAAAACACTTGTTTAATGTTTTATTGCAGTTACTCTCAATCAAATCAGTTGAACTTCATGGGGGCTGTTTCCTGATAACCGAGACCAAAAAAATCTCTGGATTTCGCCATCGCTCAGCCGAGCCGCGTCTCATCGCCTGCTGGGATAACCGGGACAAGTTCTGGATCCAGCGCTATGGGAAGGGCTCTCCTGGTTTGCATCAAACCCAGGCCAACGCTGCGACTTTCAACGTGCCCCTGGGTACAGATGTGGGGTCCACATCGTGACGGCTAACAAAACATCTGCACTGGTCTGCTCGCAAGGACTCATTTCTCGAGACAAGAGCAAATGGTTGGACTGGGTGATCTTAAAGGTCTTTTCCAACCTAAACGATTCTATGATTCTACAAATTCTGCAGAAAGACACTGATTTCTCAAAATTAGCGGCTGTAAGCTTCCTTGTGCGGTAGATTAAATGAAAAGCAGATTTTCTGCTCCAGGGAAATCTGAGGGCAGAGGGGTTAAAATGACCTTTCAGCCCATATGAAACCGAAGCAAAAACTTTCCAATTTTTCTTTCAAAATCGAACTCCTTAACTCCATACAAAACCTGGGGCAAATTTGTCGTTCTCATTGCTTTCCCTCCTAAAGTACAAAGCACTAAAGCTCCCCAACCCCCTTTTTTGCCTTGGTAGGAACTCATCAAAGCCACTCACGGCTCCTCCACGTGCTGTTTCCAAATATAAACGAGTCTTGGTGGAAAAGCTCCAGCCAGGCGGACCATGCTGTAAAAGTTAAGCCAGGTTTAATTCCCAGCTAAGGCCCGGGGGAAACCCCACCATCAAAGCCATCTCTGCTGACCAGAAGCGGAATGAAAATGAGCAAGTAGCAGGGTTATAAAAGGAGGGGAGAGAAAAATGCCAGAGCTTGTTTGCATTTATTAAGCACCTGTAAAAAGCAGCCGGTGCCACACGCAGCTGACGGGTGAGGCCAAAAACCCACGGATTTCTGCAACGTCTAAATTGTTCCTATTTCTGAAAGCGTTTTCTTCTACCAGCACATACACTGACACCACGCTGCGTGGGGAAGCAAGGGGATGGCTTATGGCGAAGAATTTGTTCCCTTCCTATTAAATAACTATAAAAACATCTTCCACAAGTCTCCTGGCAGAAAAGGATGTCAATGAGGACCGGGGATTGTTTGCAGAGCAGCGTTACATTTCCTAAAATTGCGGTGCATCCTGATGGGGAAATAGATGGATTTAAGAACGGCTGGGCCGAGCTATTTCAGCCCTTGGCTTTGCAATTGTACCCCAAAAGCAGCACCGTAAGGGGGCCCTGGAGATGTCACATCACCCTCCCAGGAGAAAAATATTTAGCATTAAAAAAAAAAGGGGGGGAAATATGGGACAAAAGCAATAAATCAGTTGAAATCCATCAACAGGGCTGAGCATCATAGCAGCAGAGCCCCTCCTGTGCCTGCTGCCTGGCTGCACGCCCCGGCAGGGAGAAGCCACCCCGAATTTCTTGCAGGAGAACCTCTGGATTAGGAAATATTTGTGCCCTTTGAATGAAGGAGAGACGCAGGGGAATGGGCAAGGAGGACACGAGCTAATTGCCCCCTTTTAGGAGGCGAAGGGCTGCTCCGTCAGTGCTCCCTCTTACAGGGTGTACACAGCAGCTGATACCCTGCAGCATTTAAGCCATCCTCTCCCCACCAAAATCTTGCAAACAAGAGGCTATTTTTGGCTTAAATCCAGCCCAGATTCCTTCCCGAGCTGCAATACCCTTGCAAACTGCTGCTCTTCCATCTTAATTTTACGTCCCCTAATTAGAAGCCGGTGTCGGCTGGAGGAGAAATAATGAACTCCGCAGGATGGCCAGGAACAATTAGAAATCATCCAGTGCAACATATAAAAATTAGTTCCACTTCTTTCCCTGAGATAATGCAAGGCCGGAGTCCATCGGGCCATGTTTTACTAAACCACAAGCATTTGTACTGAGCTATGAGTCAGTTCACACAACTTCACGAGACGCGGCAGCGACAGTTCCTCTGCAAAGGACGCTACAGGCAGAAAAAGTCGGCAGCTCTTTGAAACCACCCCAGCTCCTCTTGGTACCCGGCATAGATTATTTAAGAGCTCTTAGCACGGGCTTAACTTTAGGCTCCGCTTAAGCCTTTCGGGCTGTAACAGACACCGCTGAGCAACACGGTTTCTTGCAAACCCTCACACCAGTTTCCATCAGCACTCTGGCTACAAAACCGCTGCGAACCCCGGGCTGGTACCTGCCTGGCGTGCACACATCCCTCCCTCTTCTAATTTGTAACCCTCAGAAAGGGGATTAATAAATGTGCATGGTTATTAACGCTGCTACTCGGTGAAGCAGCACTTTCTTGAAACAGAAGGTGTAGCTCATGGTTTTCAGTGTCAGTTTAGTCCCTTCCCCGCTTTTGCGAATCCTGTGTGGTTTTTGGATGATCCGAGGTGAACCCGGGGCTGCTGACAGCCGAGCTGGGACAAGCCACTTATTCAGTCTCTTTCTAAAATAAATGGTCCACGTGCGCTTTAACTTCAGCAGAAGAAATACAAGTGTGAGTTTATAACCTCACACTTAAGCCTTTTTTTTTCCTCTCTTCTTTTATTACAAAAACATTAAGCTTTAGTTTCAAAAGGAAATCTAATATATTCTTCCAGGGTAAGATAAGCTTTCAGGAGGCGGCCAGAGGCACGCCTGCCTTTCTGAGTGCCGCGGTGGTGCGAGCCGGACGAACAAAGAGAGGAAACCACCGCTCTGAAGTGCAAGCCACGCTGGCACACCGATCCCCTGCAACTTGTAAGCGTGTCCCACTTTTAGTTCAGAAGTGTTTTCCTGCCAGCCGCAGGCTCATTTAGGCGGTGCAAGAGCCATCGCTCCCCAGGGACCCACCGGTCACGCTGCAAAGGCACTGCCTGGTCCGGCTCCTGCCACCCGGCTATCGGATGGGACGGAGGCCAGCGCAGATCATGATCCTCCCCACGACAAGCGGGCTGGCATCGCATTTTTTGCTCCGCCACCGCGGCTCTGAACAGCCGTAGGGGTTGTGCTCAGCCCACGCCAGACCGTGTTTCCTTGCAAGAAAGCTCCTCGTGGCCTCCAGATCGGGGTCAGCTGCAACTCAGCAGATCCTGCTAAATATAACGCCTCTGAGATGAGCTTGGGGTGTTTTGCATCCTAGGGAAAAATGTGATAAATAACCTGGAGCCAAGAGTGCTGCGATGTATGAGGTGTTGCCGAAGCGCTCTTAGGCTTCAAACCAAGCTCGGCTTAATATTCCCAGGGCAAAAAAAAAAATTAAGAGAATGGAGAAGGGGTGATGGTGCTGATGAAACCGTTCCGGTGTGCCGGGCTCCCCATCGCAGGAGGCGGATGCAGCCCACGCTGCCGCGGGGATGGAGCAGCAAGGAGCATCCCCGTGGGGCCACCACCTCCCCGCGCAAAACCGGCTCCATCACGGCCCAAGCACTGGCTGGGCTGGCAGGCACGGCAACGTGCTCAGAGAAACTGTGAGGCTGCAAGTGCTTTCCCCGTGAAGCCCTGGGTTTCAGGGTTTTGGTTTTGTTTTTTTTCCCTCTCCTCCTTTTTGAAGTGGTGTTGCCTATTTTGGTAGGCAAGGGCTATTTTCAAGAGGGTTTTTGTTCGCTGAAGACCATGTGGAACAGCGTCAGACGTTTGTGTTGCGGTTTCTCAGGGGTTTGGGCCAATTTTTCAGCCTGAGAAGG